TGTGCCAAACTCTAAATAAGGTCTGCCTTTCAGTGGTGGAGCTATAAGGAAAAAGTGCACGAGCAAAATTAAAGGAGAGAAAATTTATGATCAAATCACGAACCATACGCACTAGTATTTCAGTAGAAAATGTTCCCATTGATTACAAGATCAATAGATAAATAGTTTTGCTGGGGTTATAATCCAAAAATATCGATTGAATAATTCATGGTACAACCATTACCTGCAAATTGCTGTAGATTATAGGAAAATAAAATTGCTATTTTGAACTTGACATGATGCCATCAAGTAAAACTAGGGAAAACGAAGGAAATTACATGTGTTGCGCCACAACGGTCGGTTGTGTCGTCGCCAACTTCGTTGGCAACAGGCGAAACGGCTTCGCTTGCAGGAAAAATGGAGAGGAGCGAGCCTAGGTCTCCAAACCAAATATTTTAAATCAAGTTGTGAAAGCATCGTATAACGACGAGACAATGCATCAGCAATAACATTTTCTTTACCCTTGTTGTGTTTAATGACATAACGGAAAGTCTCAATGAATTCAACCCATTTAGCATGTCTACGGTTCAGTTTTGCTTGAGTTTCAAAGATTCAGGATCAGAATGTATAACAAATTCTTTGGGCCATAAATAATGTTGCAATGTTTCTAAGGTCCGAACAAGAGCATATAATTCTTTATCATAAGTAGAATAGTTCAGACTAGGCCCACTCAATTTTTCAGAAAAATATGCAACAGGTTTGCCACCTTGTAATAACACACCTCCTAATCCAATTCCACTAGCATCACATTCAAGCTCAAAAGTCTTATTAAAATCAGGAAGTTGGAGTAAAAGAGCATGTGTCAACTTATCTTTCAACACCGTGAAGGCTTCTTCCTGTGCGGTACCCCAAACAAAAGGCACATCCTTCTTTGTAAGCTCATTGAGAGGTGCAGCAATGGTGCTAAAATCTCTCACAAAACGCCTACAGAAACCAGCTGGTCCAAGAAAACTCCTCACTTGTGTGACCATTTTGGGCTGCAGCCAACTCTCAATAGCTTCAATCTTGGCTTTATCAACTTCAATTCCCTGTGGAGTAACAACATAGCCAAGAAAAGACACTTGGTCGGTGCAAAAGGTGCACTTCCCTAGGTTCTAATGATTTTACTGGAAACTTTTATCGTGTGTGGGTTCGTATCAATGTTCTCAAACCTCTGAAGAATGCTGTTTCGATGGTAAGAGATGGACAGAGGCAAATCTACAGGGTAAAGTACGAGCAGCTTCCTGACTGGTGTGCCGTGTGTGGTATGTTAGGGCATCTTTACAAAGAGCATGGTAATGGGATACACCCACCATCGGCTTTGGTTTTCAAGGATCTACGTGCCTCCTGGTTCATGCGAGCAGGGAGAGGACCGGGTGAGGGCAATGGACGTCGTGGTGGCCGTCGGGGTGGCCGCACTGGTGGCCGCTCGGGAGGATAGATGAGGGGTGATCCAGGAGCAACCCAAGAGGATTTTCACCAGGACAGTGGGTATGGATTAGCACCTTTGGTTGATGTGGACATGACCGATCAGAATAGGAAGAGATCCAACCCATCTAGTGCAAACCCCATGCCGACTCAGCAGATGGTGAAAGGGGGCCAAAGTGACCAGAACAGCACACAGATAGCACCCAACCAATTGGCGATTGTCCCCCACCTCCCTTCGCCGATCAGCCCTCCTCCAAAGAGGGATCCCAAGAGAAACAAACATGCTGCAGAAGAGAAAGAAATTGCTCCGAAAAGCAATTTGGCGGGCTCCCAGGTGGGGCACTGCCAGGCCCAATGAGTGTCTTCTCCTGGAACTGCCGTGGCGCGGGCAAACCTGCGGCAGTTCGCGAACTGCGCGATTTCGCGTTGAAGTTTGCCCCTACCGTACTATGTATTGTTGAGACACAAATTAGTGGACTACGTGTAGAAGCTTTTGCTAGCACTCTAGGGTATGATAACTCCTATGCAATAAACAGTCAGGGAAGAAGCAGTGGAATTGGCATGTTTTGGAATAATACAATCGATGTTGAGATTTTGGGCGACTCTGTTTACCACATTGATGCGAAAATACAAGAGGCGGGGCAGGACCCATGGAGATTGACATGCTTTTATGGGGAGGCCCAAACTAGTCTGAGGCACCAAACGTGGGATCTAATGAAAAACTTGGCAGCTTTAAATGACTTGCCTTGGGTCTGTGTGGGGGATTTTAACGAGGTGCTACGTCAGGAAGAACACCAGGGTGTAGCTAATAGAAGTAATGCACAAATCCAAGCTTTTCGAGATGCAGTGGATGTTTGCATGTTGATGGACATTGGGTATCAGGGGAGATTCTGGACCTTTGAGAAGAAGGTGACGGGGGGATCTTATACCAGGGTGCGACTGGACAGGGCTCTGGCATCCACTGGCTGGATGGACATGTTCCCTACAACGACGCTGAAACACCTCACGTCAGCTAGCTCGGATCACGGTCCAATTCTTCTTAACTTTGATCAAGAGCCGCAACAGTTGGGAGGAGCGAAGGCCTTCAAATATGAGGTCATGTGGGAGTCACACAAGGACTGGAGGCGAACTATTGAGTCGAGATGGAATGATGGAACAGTTCAAACCTACAAGAGGTATTCGACAGGGAGATCCCATCTCCCCTACCTATTCTTGCTAGCAGCGGAGGGCCTTTCGTGCCTTTTAAAATCTAATTCTCAGTCATCAGTGCTCAGTGGCGTCAAGGTGGCACCGACAGCTCCGGCTGTTAACCACCTGTTATTTGCAGATGACAGCCTGCTGCTTTTTAAGTCTAGTGTGGAGGGTGCAACTAGGGTTTCAAACCTATTGTATATTTATTGTGGAGCATCAGGACAGAAGGTTAACAATGAAAAATCCTCTATCTTTTTCAGCAAGGGATGCCCTGTCTCTCAAAGACAGGAGGTAAAGGATGTCCTTAATGTGCAAAACGAGACCTTGAGTGAAAGGTATTTAGGGATGCCGACGGAGGTTGGTCAGTCAAAGAATGGCACTTTCAAATACCTTCGTGATAGGGTATGGGAAATGATCAAGGGATGGATGGAGAAGCTCTTGTTTGCCGCTGGGAAGGAGGTTTTGATTAAATCAGTAGCACAAGCTATTCCGGTGTTTTCAATGTCTTGCTTTAGATTGCCAAGGGGTCTCTGTGAGAGCATAACTTCCCTCATTCGTCAATTCTGGTGGGGCAACAAACATGAAAAAAGGAAACCGTGTTGGGTATCTTGGGATATTATGACTAATCCTAAAAACTTGGGTGGTCTAGGCTTTCGAGACATGGAACTTTTCAACCTAGCTCTGTTGTCTCGGCAAGCTTGGCGACTACTTCAAAACCCAGAGTCCTTGAGTGCGCGTATACTGAAGGCAACCTACTTCCCGAACACCACTATTGTTGAGGCTGAACTTGGATCATCACCATCGCAGATTTGGCGCTCTATTTTGGATGGGCGAGACACCATGTTGAACGGGATTATTCGGAGGATAGGAGACGGAACCACAACACATATTTGGGAGCATAATTGGCTGCCTAGGGACGGGCTGATGAGGCCTCTTTCTTCAAGGGTTGCTAACCCTCCTCAACTTGTTTCAGAACTTATCAATGCCACCTCAGCTTCATGGAGAGAGGATTTAGTGCGGGAGGTGTTCGTGCCATTGGATGCCGACGCCGTCCTCAAGATCCCTCTATGCACGAGACAGGTTGGTGACTTTTGGGCATGGTCAGAGGATCCTCGAGGCCGGTTCTCTGTTTCTTCAGCATACAGGATGATCTCACGCATCAAGGCAAGCAGAGAGGCATGGTTGGAGGAGGGGCATAATGTTTCCAATAGTGCCATCGAGAAGAAGGGATGGTCCTCAATCTGGTCTATGCAAGTTCCATCAAAACTTAAGGTTTTCACATGGAGGCTGGCTCAACACTCGTTGCCGACGGGTGACGTTCTACATCACCGTAATATGTCGTCATCTCATGTGTGTGCACTGTGCGGTGTTGAAGATAGTTGGAGACATTCGTTGATTGAGTGCACCATGGCGAGAAGTGTGTGGGCTTTGAGCAAAGAAGAACTGGTTCAACACATGTGCGAGAATAGAGATGATAACGCAAAGGGTTGGCTTTTTACTATGAGTGAATCACTACCAGCTGAAGATTTCACAGAACTAATAGTCACCATGTGGGCGATTTGGCATGCACGCCCCAAGGTTATCCACGAGGGAATTTTCCAAACACCTTTTGCGACTCACAGTTTCATCACAACTTACCTCTCTGAACTACAAGTGTTGAAGAAGCCGGTACTGAGATGGGCGCCTCGGGAGGCGCAACCTAATTCCTGGATCCCACCGACGGACGGACATGTGAAGATCAATGTCGACGCAGCTACTCCTAGAGCAGGAGGTTTTGGTGCTGTGAGCGCTATTGCGCGTAACTCAGAAGGCATCTACCAGGGAGCTTCTGTAGTTATTTTCAGAAATATTGATGATCCTGAAGTTCTGGAAACTCTAGCGATTAGAGAGGCGTTAGCACTGGCTAATGACCTGTACATTCAGCAAGTTCATGTGGCATCCGATTGCAAGCAGGCTGTCGACGCGATCAAGGGAGGAACTGCCTCATCCTACGCGGCAATTGTGTTAGAAATTAAGGCACAAGCTACTTCTTTAGTTTCCTGTTTTTTTAGCCATGAATTTAGAACCTTGAATGTCGAGGCTCATAAACTAGCAAAGCATGCGTTAACGCTTGGGGTTGGCCGCCATGTCTGGTTAGGTCACCCTGGGGATCTTTACGGGTGAATAAAGTTTTGTTGGTTTGCCTAAAAAAAAGTGAAGGGTGAAGGAGACGGCCGGTGCAAGAGCGATCCTAATCCGCCATAAGCCCGGCCCATAACTGCTCTTTGTATAAAACGGGGGCATAGATCCACTCCGCCATTGCTGCACTCACCCTACTCTCGTCGAAGCTGCGGTATTCACGGAGCGCGCGCGCAAGATCGATCATGAGCCGGAGCCTCGGTCACCACCCACTCTTGCTCGCTTTTCTGTCCGTGCTGCTTCTCGTCGCCTCGGCCGTGGCCAACAGCACGTTGACGCAGCGGAGGACCATCGGCGGCCACCAGAGGCTGGCCTCGCCCGGCGGCGCCTTCCAGCTCGGCCTCTTCTCCCTCGCCAACAACACCAAGTGGTTTCTCGGCATATGGTTCGCTGCCTCCCCGGACGCCGTTGTCTGGGTCGCCAACCGCGATCGCCCGCTCGACACCTCGTCTTCCGGCGTAGTCATGCTCAGCAGCCGAGGGGCCCTCGTGCTCCTCGACGCCGCCAGCGACAACGAAACCATCTGGTCGTCGTCCAAGTCCAACTCATCGACCGCGGCGGTGGCGCGGCTCCAAGACGACGGTAACCTGGTGCTCGCGGACTCGGCCGGCGCCGTCCAGTGGCAAAGCTTCGACCACCCGACCAACACGTTCCTCTCAGGGTCGTGGGCCGGGCAGGACCTCCGGACCGGCGCCGTGTGGTCCGCCTCGTCGTGGCGTGGCGCCGATGACCCGTCGGCCGGCGACTTCCGTTACGTGATGGACACGCGGGGCTCGCCGGAGCTGCACGTCTGGAGGAAGGGGCGAAAGACGTACCGCACGGGCCCATGGAACGGGGTGCGGTTCAGCGGCTGCCCGGGCATGACCACCTTCGAGGACCTTGTCGAATTCCAGTTCACCCACACCGCCGACGAGGTGTCGTACGTGTACCGTGACCGCGTCGGCTCACCGGTGTCCCGCATGGTCCTGACCGAGTCCGGCGAGGTGCAGCGCATGGTCTGGAACCCCGCGACGCTCGCGTGGAGCGTTTTCTGGTCGGTGCCGAGGGACCAGTGCGACGTCTACGGCGTGTGCGGCCCGTTCGGCGTGTGCAACGCGGTCGGCGCCGTGGTGTGCGGATGCATCAGGGGGTTCCTGCCGAGGTCGCCGGCGGAGTGGCGCATGCGGAACTCGTCCGGAGGGTGCGCCCGCAGCACGCCGCTTCAGTGCGGCGACGACGGTTTCTACGTTCTGCGCGGTGTGAAGCTGCCGGAGACGCACAACAGCAGCGTGGACGCCGGCGCCTCGCTCGCAGAGTGCGGCCGGAGGTGCCTGTCCAACTGCTACTGCACGGCGTACGCCGCGTCGGACATCCGTGGTGGCGGGACTGGGTGCATACAGTGGTTCGGCGAGCTCATGGACACGCGCTTAGGCGACGACGGCCAGGATCTGTTCGTCAAGCTGGCAATGTCTGAACTTGGCCTAGGTAATTAAACCCTCTACACTCTCCTCAGCATGGATCGCTAGAACCAGATCAGTTTCATCCAAATTTTATTCAGCTTATCTGTATTTTTTTTCATCAATTCATCTTATCTATTCTGATGAGGTAGGGGAGTGGTTGGGGGCCTTTTTACAAAAATAAATAAATGCAATAGCTTATTTCACATGATCAGAATGATGGATGACAGACACACTATCATCACAAACTGCTAGGATTAGAGATAACTTCTTTACCTTGACTTGAGTTACCAATTAGACAAAATAAAACATGTTGTATCTTTCGGTTGCAGTCATGGAATCAGACTTTTTGAGCTACCAGTTAAACAAAAAACAATTCATCTTGTAATTGAAATCATGAAATCAGACTTTTTTGTTCATGAACAAAATGTTATTCCGCAAGTGTTGATTTTGAGCTCCAGAATCATGGCATTCGCATTATCTATTTTTTTACATCAATTTATATTATCTATCGGGATGAGGTAGAGTTAGACTTAGGGGTTTTCTACAAATGTGGAGTGGAGTGGAGTGGGGTCTTTCTATAGAGATGGCACAACTTATTTCACATACATTTGGTCAGAAACGATGGATAATACCATCATCACGAACTGGTCGGAGTAGGGATATTCTAACTCCTTTGGCGCGACTTCAGATACCAATTAGACAAAAATAATTCATGTTGTAACTTTCAATTGAAGTCATGAAATCAGACTTTTTGAGTCACCAGTTAAAAAAAATCATGTTGTAATTTTTGGTTGAAGTCAAGAAATCAGACTTTTTGTTCATTAACATATTGATATTTCAGTCCCTGGAGGTAAGGACCTTGTCAAGCCTATACCAAGACAAACATGTCAAGCTCACACATTATGATGCACCATATACTAGTACAATGGCTTAAGGAGTACACAATTTTCGCGCGTTTACACTACGTCTGCATCTTAATTCAGAGACAACCAAGACCAACAAGCTCGTCGTGGTCATCGCCGCGGTGATAACAACATTTGCATTGCTTCTGTTATCACTTGGCCTCCTGATCTGGAGAAAGATCCGGCAGCGCAATAAGCAAGGTGAGTCAAGAGTCCTTGGTGAATTCGTTTCAGGAGGATAACCTGAGATTACTACTTGCTTCTATCTACTGCTCATGTATTATGTTTTCCTACTCCATTTTCCAGTCACCGAGTTTGATGACATCGTGAGAGGCGAGTGTCCAGCGTACCATCTCGAAACCATTAAAGCCGCCACCGACGGATTCTGCCCCAAAAATGAAATAGGATGTGGTGGCTTCGGCACTGTTTACAAGGTGATAATGCTTGTAAAACCCATGTGAAATCAGACTGAAAATTTCCTATGCTCGTATAGACAACATGTGGATAGTACTAGTCTTGTCGTACTTGCATGACAAATGTATTGATTAACTGGATTTCTTTGTTAGGGTCAGATGATAGATGGCCAGGAAATTGCAGTGAAGAAGCTGTCAGCAGGGAATAGAGTGCAAGGTCTGAAGGAGTTCAAGAACGAGGTGGACTTGATCGCCAAGCTACAACACCGCAACCTCGTACGCTTGCTCGGCTACTGCATCCACCACTCCGAGAGGATACTAGTCTACGAGTACATGAGCAACAAGAGCTTGGACACCTTCATTTTTGGTATGTATGACATGTCTGAGTGACTGCGGTATACCAGTTACTACCATTTATGATGAGAAATTCAATTGTGTGAATTAGCTAACAGATCCGAAGAGACGCGCCACCTTGAGCTGGAAGACTAGGATGGACATCATCTTCGGCATTGCCAGAGGGCTTCTCTACCTTCACCAGGACTCGAGGCACACGATGATCCACCGAGATCTCAAGGCGGCCAACGTTCTCCTCAATCGGGAGATGGTGGCCAAGATATCGGATTTCGGAATCGCCAAGCTGTTCAGCAGCATCGGCGACCATCAGGTCACGGAAAGAATTGTTGGGACATAGTAAGAACTGCAAACCTTATATAACACAAACAGTAGAAAAGTATTATAGTTACGTCGACTCTTTGTTTCTTTTCAAGTGTGCCCATGATGGATTCCCTAACTGATTTTTATGCTGCCCGTGTGTTGTGTGGCTGCAGTGGTTACATGTCACCCGAATATGCGATGGACGGCATGGTATCGTTCATGCAGGACGTGTACAGCTTCGGTGTGCTGTTGCTGGAGATCATTAGTGGCAGGAGGAACCAACGAAGTTTTAACCTCATTGCTCATGTAAGAAGTCAATTGCCTCTTGCAACTGATTTCATAATAGTCAAAATGAGTTTTGTGTGATTTTATAAATTTCATCCGAAGTCAAAATACCATGCCAAGACGGCCAAAGTCCCAACCCCGTTTGTGTGAATCCCACAACGGCATTGACAAGCATAATAATCTTTTTGCAGGCATGGGGGCTATTTGAAGAAAACAAGAGCATCGAGCTCCTTGACCCAGCCGTGCGGGACGGCCGTAGCCCGACGGAGCTAGAGCAGGCCGCGACATGCATCCAGGTAGGGCTACTGTGCGTTCAAGAGAGCCCGAGCCAACGACCACAAATGGCTTCCGTAATACCCATGTTGTCGCACCAACAGGTGCCGGGACGGCCGCTTCGGCCGGTGGTCTGCATGCCTGTGAGCTCTCTGGGGGATCTTCTGGACGTGCAGGAGGACACGTCCGGCAATGCCGAGCTGACCATCACAAACCTTGAAGGGCGGTAGGATGGCTCTAGGGCAAGCTAGAACCAAAGATGGAGACGTTACTTACGTTTTCTCAGTGTCATTGGGCAGGACACGTGCATGCACACCAAAAACATAATGATTGTATAAGTCGCAATTCACGCGAGCATACACACTACTATGTGGCTTTGTAGTTTTTTTTTTTTTTGAAACATGTGTTTGTACTATTTTACGACATCACATGAGACCGACCTAGCCACCTTATAAGTTGATATCTACCTCTTTGCCTTAGCAATGTGGGACTGAACCTTGTGTTGGGCATTGTTTTGGAATTTCAGATATTTTAGATTGGGATTCATCCACACATGGGCCATCCTGTCACTTCAATGAAACAAGTGGAACTTGTGTGAAGTCCTTTGTTGTTGGACACAGGACGCAAAAGCTTGCTCGAGCTGAACTTCTGCTAGTGCTGGTTTCGGCCAGGTGTATGCTCAACCTTTAACAAAGGCAACGCTTAGCCGCCCGTACTTTTGTGAGTACTGTTACTACTAGTACAAATGCCCGTGCCTTGCACCGGGTGAATATTAAATATAACTTGCACCACGTGCCATTATGCAACACCTTTTTAAATCCAAATTTTGCAAACGCCAGAGATAAGGTTACACCGAGTATTTCTTTTTTGGATGTATTTTTTTAAAACAAGAATATTTTTTAAATTGGATTCATTTTTATGGTGACGAACATTTTTGGGAATATTATATTTCATCTGTAATTTATAGCAAAAGTGTTCATGCGTTGCACTGGATGCAAAATAAATATATATATGCTTAAACAGTTGAAAAAATACCACTCAAACAACTACAACCATAACAGAACAACATTGTTCGAACAATTCATATTTTCAGTTTGTAAATCTCATAGCTTTCTCAAAGGATATAATAAGTAAACATGGATATGCTCTTACTTGATGTTCCAAGTTGCATGGTCTCGGTACTGTTGGTGAACTGACGCACGGCAAGTTGAAAAAAAAATTGTTGTCGAAATAGAAATACAGTAGTGGTCCAAAATATTGGGATGAACTTTCTGAATAAAATGGATAAATGATTTCAGTTTAAATGCCTCACAAAACAGTGCAATGCTTCATGCCTAAGGCTCAAACCCAAGAATAGCCATGCACCGAGAATGAAGAATAACCATGCAAATCATCAACAAATTCATTCAGAAAGATTGGCTGCTTGTACTTCATTCAGAATTCACAAGCACCAAGAGTCAAATCACGGGCGTTGTTTAAGGTTCAAAGCTTCAGACAAATTTTACTTAGCTAGAACTAACAAAAGAAAAAGCAAACTAAATCGATAGATGGATGATCAGTTAGTGCTCGGTGTTGGAGAATAGTGATACAACTTCTTCTTCTTCTTCTTCTTCTTCTTCTTCTTCTTCTTCTTCTTCTTCTTCTTCTTCTAAGCCTTTTGTCCCAAACAAGTTGGGGTAGGCTAGATATGAAACCCTTTCACGAGGATTTCCTAGGAGGTCACCCATCCCAGTACTACTCTCGACCAAATGAGTTGCTTATCCAAATGACTGGCTAGTTTTTACGTTGGCTCGTCAAGCCTATCACAACCCTTATGTATGAAACCCTTTCACGAGGACTTCCCAGGAGGTCACCCATCCTAGTACTACTCTCGCTCAAATGGGTTTCATACTCATGAGACTGGCTAGTTTTTACGTTGGCTCGTCAAACCTATCACAACCCTCCTCCTTTACCCGGGCCTGGGACCGGCTATGCCTAAAAGACATAGACGGAGTTAGAACAGTGATACATCTAACCAACAAAAAATGGACTTGATACTTAAATTGGTTCATGGTTAAAAGAATAGACCCCTTAGTTCTCAGATATAAATGGACATCAACATAAGGTCATGAGCCAATCCAAACCACCGCCGGTAGCATTAATTAATAAACTGGAATATCTGTATATACAAAGGCCGCCTAGTAGAAATCTAAAAGGATCTTCAAGGCAACACTCTTTGTTATCATCCTAAACATAACAATTTATATACTAAAATTTTTGGTTGCTTAATACCTTGATACATCAGAAGAAGAAAAGTTTCGTTTTGACACCTTCAGTTCTGTTGTGGACCATGAAATAATATTGCAGCCACTAATTAAAATCATGCAGTCAAATTAGTATGAAGGCATAATTATGAATCTGCCCGTATAAGATCAAAATGCGATATAATTCTAGGCTGACAACAACGAAAGATGCAGTACAGCTCGACCAAAATGCGAAATTCAACAGAAGAGTACAAGTTTTCACGAACCTAGAAAGAGATTATGTAGTACAATATTTTAGGATCCTCTCAACACTACATACCAACTCAAATTTGTATAGAACTGAAGAAACTTAGGACCTCCTGCAGGTATGCTAGTACTAATATGCTAAAACACACACACACACACTATGTACCAATATCTTTGGTGAATGTGTGATGCGTGCCTGAGGACGAGGAGAGCAGCGATATAGCTCACGAGCTCGCGCGCTCCTGTCACGTCGGAGTTGGCAGTTATGGCGGATGGAAATACTTCGTTCATATATGCAGAAGGAATAGTGCATATATGGTAGTGGGCCCGTACGATCAGCTCAGCGGAGTTAAGGCATTGCCGTGACGGAAGGCCATTAGTACAGGATGCGTGCGCCCCTGGTACCGGCGTGACCAAACGGCGTCGCAACAGGAAAAAGGAAATCTGCCTACCCGGTCCCCAACAGGTCCATGCTCTCTGCAATCCCGAAAGAAGAAGGAAATCTGCCTACCCGGCTCGACCTCTCGGGCACCATACCCTCAGGAAGTCAGGGTGTTTTGTTTTGCGCGGCGGAGAGATAGAACCAGTGGGGGCGGCACAGGCGCTGGGAGATGGATTCGAGTTCCTACCAGATCTGGTCAACGGGTATGGTTTTTGCCCCCGCCTTAGATTCTACTGTAGTGATTTTGCGGCATGCACCTCAGTAGCGTTTTCCGGTTGGAAGACAGATTCCCTCTTCCGTCGTTGGGGTGGTGAGGTGAATACACGCCGCCGGTGCAGCCGGTTGCAGGTCCGATGGACGCAGTAGCCGAGTTCAGCGTTGCTGATGTTGGTGATGCCTCGCCGGCGGGGCAGCCAGACCTGAACAACGCTTGCGCGTCAAGCAGCTTGTTCGCACCTGATTCAGAACAGTCAATGTGCAGAGACGACCCGCAGGCACCATGGTGGACGAAGAGGTAAATCATGCCTAAATTATCCGCTGACTATATTACTGGAATCCTTGTGGTGCAGACGCTCCTGTGATAATGCCACTGCTTGGAAGTAGATATTACTGGAAAAAAAAGTGAAACTGTAATGCGTGCTGGTGTGTTGGGAGGATGCGGTCTCCAGAGTTAAAACAAATGTGGTATATGTGACAGCAACAATCTAATTGATGCTGGGTTCGTGTTGGGCGGGCACTTGTTGAACGGCCACCATGCGCCGGTAGAGTGTGCACTCTCGAAAAAACAATCAGGGGAAATGCAAAGAAGACTGGAAGTGTTGTAACGCCTGAACTCGGCAGGAGCTTCGGTTCATTAGGTGAAGCGTATAACTACTACAATATGTACTTCTAGGAAATTGGATTTGGAATCAAGTAGTGATGTGACCTATGATTTACGGATCAGGTGCTGAAGATAATTAATATCTTACTTTTTCAGGAGTTTTATCATAATTGCCACATGAATGTCAAGTCATATACCCGTGACAGCGGTTTGTGTTCGCAGGGGAGAACATCACTACCGAGTCTGTCACTGTGAGGCCTACAATTCAACTGCAAAAGGCGCCCAACGATGAGTGCCCTTCAGTCTCGCTTCCGTCCTCGACGCTGTGTGTTTGGAATTTTTTCTTAAAGGAAAAATGCTTTCAAGGGATGAGGGCATACCACAGGTTGGTTTGTAGGAGGCGCATTTGGTTCTGTTTGGCTGTGACATGGTCTTTCTTTCGTGTTCCTTGATCTAGTGACTATTGTTGTGTCGTATATAGCAAGAGCATTAACATCGTGTTTAGTTTCTGCACGGTGGTTAATTAAGACTGTAACAAAGGCAAAGTGATTAACTGATCTTGCCATGTATGCCTGCACATCGCTGTAGCTTCTATTGCCACAAGCATGTGGAATAAAAGGAAAGGAACTCCTTGGGAATTGAAATGCTCTGTTGTACTTCTGCATCACCTTCCAAAGCCAGTTAGGGAATTTATGAGAATGAAAATCAGTGCACAGAAATCAACTTGTTATGTCTTTGCAAGGGTATCTGTTTTCAGTAGGTTAGTTTAGAGTTTTAAGACTCTTACAAGAAGTCAAAGTGGCTGAACTTTTGTATATATACTACTTGTGCATCATTGTAGGGCTGCAACTGTGTGTGTGTTGCTGCCAGCATGTGGAATGGAAGCAGTGAGGTACCACGAGAGAAAAAAACATCTTTGCCCTTCCTATTTCTTCTTAGGACCCCGTTAGCAGCAGAGCAGTTTGAATGATTGACTTTGTTGCCATTGGACATTAAAAGGCTTTTTTTCCTGTTTTGATTACGTGAGTCGCTTTATGTTGTTGCCCTGAAATCGGTATAAAACTGGCTGAAATCTGGCTGATCGCCATGAGTAAAACTGTAAAGCTTATTGTGTCCATAGGGAAGGGTGCACTGCTAGAAAATGTGTGTTGTGTGAATGAGTGTGGGCAGGGGGTAGTGCTGAGATTCATCTTTTAGATGTTAATTGGCATGTCTGACATATTTGTAATTTGACTGCAGTGTTTGGATTGGAGGGAACATCCTTGCATCTCTTGAGTCGTTCCAGCAAGTTGCTAGATGGGTGTAGAGTCATATACTAGAAACCGCCGCGTGGTGTGCGTGGGGGAGAACTTTGCCAGGTGGTCCTTCGGTGTGTGGCCTACTTCAACTGCAAAATGCACCCACCGGTGAGTGCCCTTCGGTCTCAATTGCGGTCCTTGACAGTGTGTTTGTTTCAGTTGTGAATTTCCAGTGCTAGTA